CTCTCTCTCTCTCTCTCTCTCTCTCTCTCTCTCTCTCTCTCTCTCTCTCTCTCTCTCTCTCTCTCTTCTCACACACACTCGCACGCTTCCTTTCTTTGTTTTTTTTTTTGTTTTTTTTTTGTTTGTTTGTTTGTTTGTTTGTTTGTTTGTTTGTTTGTTTGAAGGGTGTAGTTTTTCTTTTGTTTCTGTTTTTCACAGAGTGAACGCCCGACCCTGAAACGACCGGCCTCCTGAATGAGGCACTACAGGGCGTTCGCCTCCCCTGACCCCTGAAAGCTGCGGCGCGTTAACCGCCACAAGCTTTTTTTTTAGCTGGACGAGGTACTGGTGGTTTAAGGTCCGTGTTTCAGCAGTAATGGGACCACTGAGCACGCGAGTTTCTGGGCAGTAGCAGGCCAACTCACCACGTGCTTTCCAGGGTTTCCTTTACTACTCACCAAATGTGCAAAACTAGAATGAATCTTCTGCTAGAACATGGAACCGTACGCCGCCATTTGTTTTGTTTTTTGTGCAAGTGGTGACAAGTGAAGCAAGGCCCTTAGGTCCACTGCTCGTAGGAAAAGGAAACAAAAGAAACAGAGGAATGAATCTTCTGCTAGAACATGGAACCATACAGCGCCATATGTTTTTGTCTTTTGTGCATGTAGTGACGAGTGGAGAAAGGCCCTTAGGGCCACTGCTCGTAGGAAAACGAAACAAAAGAAAGAGAGAGCTACGGTAGTAAGTAGTTGTGACTTGTAACCCATAACTGCTGGAAAGCAGACCTGACTTCGGATCCAGAACATATATTGCTGGCCTGCTCCACTTGCCCACGAAATTTGCTGAACGTCTCTTGAGACGTTGGTACACTTGCAGATATACTGCTGGCGTCCTTCGGGAAAAAGATTATTCAACAAGGAATACGTGGGCCCAATTTTTTTCTGTGTCCTTCGATAATTTGGACGGGAGGGGTACCATAGACTACCTCAGACAGCCCTCTCCAAATTGTTTTTTTTACCCTATTTATTGGGGTGCGCTGCATCACGTGCGCGCTCATGCTAGTGCGTGCGCTATGGACCGCAGGTATGGGTTGGCGTATAGGGGGAGTATAAGGGTGATATAGGGGATTATGGAGGGTTTAATAAGGGTGTTGGGGGCGGTTCGGGGGGTGTTGGGGTGGTGTATGGGGGTATTGGGGGCCGCTATGAGGTGTTGGTGGTGTTATTAGGGGTTCTGGACCCCCCCCCCCAAAAAAAAATGCGGGGTGCCGATGAACCCCGACCGGTAGGTGCCGACCAGCCGATCGGTCGGCGGGTCGGCAGCCGACCAGTCAAGGGCCGCCGACCGTCGGCGGGTCCAACACTGCTTTGAATACAAAAGAGAAATAACACAGAAAAAATCATATCATGCATTCATTGTGCAATGACTTGCTGATTTGACTGCTGTGTTCTGTCGGGGAGGCTGTATAGTACAGCTAGCGTTAGATTTGCAATTTTTGTTTTCTCTGAG